AAAAAAAAAAAAAAAAAAAAAAAAAAAAAAAAAAAAAAGTAAATCCAAGTAACAGTGAAGATTTTGTAAAACAGGAACTCCCACAAAAAGTTGGAGAGGATATAAAAGAACTCCACTACAGAAAGAGTTTGGCAGCCTCTTAAGAAGGAACTGCAACTTTGTCACACAACTAATTCGTGTCTTCTATTCTTAAGAGTCTGTCCAAGAAGAATTAAATGTGATTCACACAAAGTCTTGCATGTGAACATTCACAGCAGCCTTATTCATCACAGCCCTGAACTAAGCAGTCAAAATGTTCACCAGCTGATGAACGGACAATGAAAGAGAGTGCATGCTTGCAATGGGCTACTATCTAGAGATTAAAGAAACCAAATGCCTAGTGTATTATGGGACTGTAATGGCCCAGGATTATGAGGAAGTGTTGAGGAGAGCTTCAACTTGGATACTTCAGATGAGGATGGCAGGAGCTGGCTTTCTCCCCACTCTGAACCTGGTGCCTTAAAGCAGGCTCCCCTACCATCAACCTTGTAAATTCAACCTAGTAAGAATTTATTACCTTGACAGTTAAGCATGCAAATGGAGTATCTTGCAACACCTCTGTCCTGGCCAATTGTACACAGCCACACAAACCTTGCCCCAGAGACCCTTCCCCCATCCCCCAATAAACAAACCAGTTCTCTGAAGCTGTTCCCAGGAGTGTGCTCTTTGCCTCCGCACTCACCACACAATCAAGATCCTGCCTGTACCTACCCTCCCTGGCCAACCTTCACTTCCTCCACTCTAGCCTGGTAAGCAACAGGCCTGAAAAACCTAAGGGAAGAAGTGTCACTATTTGTGACAAGATTAATTAACCTCATGATGCTCTGTTAGTGAAAGGAAACAGAACCAAAGTCTTCGAACTGTGTTACCCATCTATGGAACTCCCAGAAGACAGCAAATGTATAAAGACAGATTTCAGAGCAATGGTTTCCAGTGTCTGTAGGGTTAGGAATGGGCAGATGGGTGGGAGGGAAAATTGGAACTGAAAAATTTTGATGACTGGATTTTGATGATGGTTGTACAGGTCTGTAAATTCACTAGAGCCTAGGGGTGATATTTACAGAACACAAATTATACCTCAAACAACTTCTGTGAAACATTTTGTCCCACGTTTAGTAATTGAATTTCAAATATGTGTTATCTTTTTTCCTTACTAAAACTAAATTGAGGTAAAGATAGCTTATTATGGGAGGGTTGTTTTTCCTCATTTAAAATAAAAAAGAACAAGATTGAGTTTGTTCAGGTTGTTAAGAAGGACAACTAAAAATGAGAGGTCTTTGCCATTGATCAGTTGAACAGTTCATATGCATCTATTTCAAGAAAACTTTCTTCTGTGAGGAAGTTAGAATTCCCTCATCTCAAGAATAATATGGGCCTTGGAGATCCTCTACAGCAATTTCAAGGGAATATATATATATATATTATATTTATTATATATATATATATATGTATGTATTTGGAAACTACTTCAGAGAAGTAGTTTATTGGGAGGTGGGAGGAAGGGAATATTTATGCCCCCAGGGAGGAGGCCAGGATCTCTGGGGCAAGAGAATGACTATATATATGTATGTATGTATGTATTATACTTAAATGTATACAGAAAATTTTAACTTTTTTATTAAAAATCACTTTTAACTTTTTTATTTCTCCCAGCCTGAATAATTTTCAAACAAGGGCGGAATAATAAAGGAAAATATAAGAACTAAGAGGAGATGCCAGTCTTATTCCCGTTTCCTCCTGTGTGACAGAGGGTACTTTTTTCTCATGCTGCACCCCTCTTGCTGAGTGAGGTGTAGGAAAGCTGAGGGCAGGAAAAGATGACCTTGCTTTTGATATCCGCAAGGCACACTCAGGAGTGTGCGTTGAGATGTGTATAATTCTTTGAAAAGGTTTAGAAGGTCTTTTTCATTTTTCCTTTGTTTTAATTAAATTGTTCTTAGGATGTCTTGAATTACAGAACAAGCATTAGCCAGGAAAATAGTCATTCTCACTTACCTCTCAGTGTAAGAATCCATGCATCCCCAGGGAGGGGACGGGAAGACTGGAAACCATGAATAAAATTCTTTTCAAGCAGCATGTTTTAGTTTTTTCTGATGGTATGAGCACTAGGGAATCAAATACTCCATTTAGAATCTGATTGACCTAAGGGCACACCAAAAATTTCCAGAAGTTTCTGTGTCCTCTGTGAAACCTATTTTGGCTCTTTGGTAATCCCTACTAAAGCACCTCATCAGAGAGATTTTTTTTTTTATAATTAGCGTTTTCTTTTGCTAAACTCCCTCAGAAATTGAAAGGATATAAGCATTTAAAAAAAAATAGCATTCACATACTCCCAAATTCAGCTTCCATTGTCTGGTCCTCCTCAGTGAGAAGAGCCTTTCAGAAGTTAGATACCGAATTAGCTGCACTTAGAGAACAGCCTGTTACTTCCGAAAGGGCCCCTCAGATCAATAAACACTGAGAACCTTAACTAAGCACACTGCCCAGCCAGGAACCCACAGCAAACAGCCAAGATCACAGTGGCTCCTTTTATTGGAGTAAATGTTTATTTGTGCTGAAAAGAGATGCGGTCAGTGCAATGTGGGGCCAAGAGATCATAATTTTCCAAAGGAGCTTGCTGTGACTTTTCTTGCTCAGTTCAAGCATAATTTTTGCCTAGGTGTTTTTATACCCCTCGTTTGTTTTTGTGTTTTTTGTTTGTTTGTTTTTTAACAGAGAACTTGGTGGAAAAATGTTTCTTCTGAAGATCTTCCATGTAAATATTTACTTCAGGCTGGCAC